CTTCATTGCTTCTACCAACCATTTGAAAACAACAATTACAACAAACTTGACTCTTTCCTACTCATTAATCTTCTATTGATCACAATCATGCACCATGATTCTTCTCTCGATGATTCTGATATATCTAGCATTAGCCTTGATACCACCATCACTGCTGTCCTCCAACTGTTACTAATGACTCTACCACTGCTATACTTAGTGTGTTTTATCCTGAGACACTTCATCAAAATGAAATGTCTTACAGCGAAGGCTCCTGAGAATGACTGTGACATGATGTTTCCTGCACGGTTGCTTGAGAATCCCAATAATGATTATAACACTTTTAATGAATGAATGAGAACATGGACTCCCTGTCATACAGTGCATAGTAGTTTATGTATTTATTGTGTAAACCTTTCTTTCTTTGTGCTATTAATTTTATTTCTTTTGTAGTTCAGAGATGATTATTATTACAAGTTTGTTAACACTTCAAGGTGCTAACAAGAAAACAAGTTCATTGTTGAAGTGCTAACAATTTATCAAACAATTTTAAAATTACAATGTTTGCTTTTTTATCATTTTTATTAATGCAGCATTTAGTCAGTGCAAATTAATAAGAAATGAAAATAATAATAATGATATCTAACAATATACTATTTAACAATAAGACAGGAGAGGAGAAGACAGAGAGAAAGAAACTAAGCAAAGAAGAGAACAAAGGGGAATTAAGTAGAAATTTATCTCCATAATAATAATAATAATAATAATAATAATAATAATAATAATAATAATAATATAGGATGTTCCAGCTCTACATCAGCGACCATTTGATTTTAATCAGTCTTAAATTCTGCTCCATCTCTTTGTGAACTCTCTCAGGTATTTTATGACTTAGCCACAGCTCCTGTATCTCTTTGTATATATCTTCATTGAAATTCAGTGGTTCACCCCGTCTATATATACAAATACACGTTATATGACATCATATATGTATGTGACTGGAACTGACGAAAGGTACCATTTGGCGGGTAATTAATTCATCTTTACAGTCAAAAAAGGTCAACTTGCACATGTTCAATTTAACTTATCTTTTTGGACAAAGTGCAAAAAGTTTTTTGCTATTTTTTGCAACCATTGCTTTTTCAAAATCACATTTGCAAGTTGGCTTTTTTTTTACTTTAAAGATGAGTTTAATTAACCACCAAATGGTACCCTTTGTCAGTTCCAGTCATATATTATATAGCTTTACCTTAGTCCGGGATCTGGTTCCCCATATTCATCAATGAAGGGTGGAGTCAGTGTACACCCACACACATTATGAAGGTCCCTTGCATCAAGTAGTACAACGAAACTCTCCACTATCCACATAGCTATACCAATACCGCCCCCACACCTACAGGATAAGGAATGAGAGCATTAAAAGGCATGTAAAAAAGAAAAATGACAAAAAATTTCTCCACTTTAATAATTTTTCTAATACAAATACATGTTCTTATGGTGTGTAGAAAGTTTGAGCTGATGCCAATCAAAATTTTGATTTTTACAAGATGCTCCAAAATCAGATCAAAATCCCTGTACATCCCTGTATAGTACAGAGATGTTGGCTAAATTTCACCAAAAATGAAACAGAAAGAATTCTTAATTTTTGTAATTTTTCCTGATGCATATACATGTTCTTATGTTGTGTAGAAAGTTTAAGCTGATATCAATCAAAATTAAATTTTTTATGACTTTTTAAAGTTGCTCCAAAATTGGATCAAAGTTCCTGTACTATAGTACAGGGATGTTGGACAAATTTCACCAAAAATGAAAAAGAATTCTTCATTTTTATAATTTTTCCTGATACATATACATGTTCTTATGTTATGTAGAAAGTTTGAACTGATTCCGATCAAAATTGTATTTTTTATGAATTTTTAAAGTTGCTCCAAAATTGGGTCAAAGTCCCTGTACTATAGTACAGGGTCATTGGTTAAATTTCGCCAAAAATGACAAGGAGAAAATTCTTCATTTTTATAATTTCTTCTGATACATATACATGTTCTTATGTTGTGTACAAAATTTGAGCTGATTCCAATCAAAACTGGAGTTTTTATGAATTTTTAAAGCTGCTCCAAAATCAAATCAAAGTCCCTGCAGAGATGTTGTGCTTGTCAACTCCAGTTTAAACTTTAGCTCACTTAGCATGCTTTGTGTGAAACCCTGGCATGGACTACACAGTATCATATGAGTATCATTCAAAAATTAGCTCATTTTTAGATGGCCATAGCTTTAAAAAATTGTTCAAACTAGATAGTCAGGTCCAAAGTTGGGGGTTATTTTGGAACCATTAAAAAAACTTATGGTACATGAACTTTTCAGAAATCGGTTGATTTTTATAATGTACATAATTATTCTTAACGGCACATACAGTTGAGAATGCTGAGTCAGTTGACCGATTTTGACAGACTCGTCGTCGCTGAGAGACTCTTGACAAGAATAACAGTTAGTGCACAAGAGCTCTCCACACAACAAGCAAAGCATGACAGTCTGAGTGTTCTGTGTATCATCAGTCTCCATCGTTGATTTAGGACACCTAAAATAATATTATTATTATTGTTTTAAATTTATGTACACCATACTAGTAGACTACAATATCATTCTTTATGTATAGTTATTAGTATTAATTGCACGGCTCTAAGTAATCAACTGGTTAGTTCATTTGTTGAAGTGGTTGTCCCCACCACCCCGACCACCATAGGCAGAACTATGATTATTACTGTTATTATTGATTGTTATTCTTCTCACTTGAATTCAGACGCCATTTTGATAAGCTCAGCGTATCTCTTTGGCATATTAATGAGACGTCTTGTTGGCTGGACAGCTAAAGGAGTGAGAGAAGCACTGACTGATATGAGAGTGGAGGATGAGGAATTGAGACAATGGACAACATCAGCCAAACGAGGATGAGAACACAAACTATAAATAAACAAAATAAATAGATAAATAAATATCGTAAAAAGTTATCTGGCAAATTACTTTTGACACAATTTAATGACAGCAGGTTTCATGAAGAGAGAAGATAAAGATTGAGGAAGATTGAGGTAAGCACATAGATCAGTGAAATTGGATGCCATTGAAGCTAAAGAAAGAAGAGAGATAATAAATATAAAAAGTTTAAAGTATAGCTTATATTCCTACCTGAAGAATGAATGAAGTCTGTTCCAGTCAAACAGTTTACAAATAAAGCAAGACGCTGAAGGAATGGATAAAGATGTTCCAACATGCCAATGTACAGGGAATAAGGAGAGGGGGGGTTGTCACTGGAGAGAGAGAGAGAGAGTGAGAGTTTATTCTAAAATAAATCAAAAGGTTGTCTACCTGTTATCAGATCCAGCGTGTCGATGAACAATTGACCAAAGTCTTTGTAACTCACAACCTTCGACTAGTTCAGGGTCACTGCCTGAGGCTACACAAATAAAAATTGAAGTGAATAATTAGAATTTATTAGCAAGCTAGTACACACATACATGTATGTACATGTACATTTATACAATTTCTTAGTTTACAGTTGCACCTCACGCCCAAAGTACATGTACATGTATATGCATGTATACATTTAGAATCACCAGATTGTGCAATAATTACATAAATTACCTTCAGCCACTGAGTCAGTTTCCATATCTCCTCCCCCAGGAGCACAGAGCAGGTATTGCATCACCTGTACTGCAGTCCCCATGGTAATGAGGTACTCGTCCGTCATTCCCATGAGAGAGGCAAGGAGAGGGTTTTCTTGTGGGAGGTGTGGCTTCTCAGTCGTTAGACGATTGAGCAGAGAAGAGATTGAGAAATGAAGATTAACCTAAAAAAGAGGAACATGTTCATACATGTATGTACAAACTCAGCATAAGGACTCAAACTTTCTACATAGCATAAGGACATGAATATGTATCAGAAAATGTAATAAAAATTGGAGGTGATTTTGGAGCCATTTTTCGGAATGGGCTATAGTACTCTAAAATTGGTCAATTTCTTTAGATGACCATAACTCGAAAATTTTTTGTCAGAATCAACTCAAACTTTCTACATGGCATAAGTACATCAATATGCATCAGGAAATGTAATATAAATTTGGGGTGATTTTGGAGCCATTTTTTTGGAAAAAACCATGGGCTATAGTCTTGGGTACTTTTCAAAAAATGGCCCGTTTTTTCAAATGACCATAACTCAAAAATTTCTTATCGGAATCAACTCAAACTTTCCACACAGCATAAGGACATCAATATGTATCAGAAAATGTAATAAAAATTGGGGATGATTTTGGAGCCATTTTTTGAAAAAAAACCATGGGCTATAGCCTTGGACAATTTTCAAAAATTGGTTCGTTTTAAAAATGGCCATAACTCGAAAATTTTCTTCGGAACCTACTCAAACTTTCCACACAGCATAAGGACATCAATATGTATCAAAAAATGTAATAAAAATTGGGGGTGATTTCGGAGCCACTTTTTGGAAAAAACCATGGGCTATAGCCTTGGACAATTTTCAAAAATTGGTTAGTTTTAAAAATGGCCATAACTCAAAAATTTTTTATCGGAATCGACTCAAACTTTCCACACAGCATAAGGACATCAATATGCATCAGAAAATGTACATGAACATGATATTGGCTTGCCACTTGGTCAAATATTACAATCACATGACACCCCAGTCATATGACTTACTATTAATGTGAATATGTCCATATCAACTACTGAGGGCTGCTCACTGAATGCTGACAACGATGGGAGTAGAACTAACAATAATAATAAAAATAATAACAATAATAATAATAATAATAATAGTAATAATAATAACAGCACATGTATCTGACTTACTGTTGCACATTTTGTTAATGTGTTCCGATAGTTTCTTAGTGTCTAACATATTAGTTGCTTTCCAACCAAAATGAATCAAAGAACGAACAATATACAACTGAAGACAGAAAGGAAAAAAGAGACGAGAGAGAGAGAGAGAGAGAGAGAGAGAGAGAGAGAGGTAACAATTTTAATAAAATATGATTTCTAACTTGTCTTATTGTGACACTGTCCAACAAGAACTTGCCCTCACTTCTTGACGCATGCTCTAAACAACAAAACAAAACAAACAAACAAAATAAATAACACACAACATTAATTCACATTAAAACATGTACCTAATCCAGAGATAGTGTAGGCACAGTTCTGCCATTGGGCCAGTGGAATATTCTCATTCTGTTCATCAGGTAGAGAGGCATATCCTTGCTGTTAGGAGAGAAGGGAAATGATAAGAAATGACCTCCAGCCCTCCCTCTAGCTCCTTACCATGAACACAAACTGGGTAAATAATGACTCCATGTCATCTTTACTGCTCGCAACACTAGAAAGAATACATGCATTGTACATAAACCGTACTTGTATACACTGTACATTAATTATGATGCATGAACAAATCAGGGGTAGTATAGTAAAAGTAGAAAGGAAACAAGATCAGAGCAGAAACAAAACTAGGGGACTACTCCTAACAATAACAAAATTACATTGGGGGATTGCTGTTTTGATATTTCTTTCCATTTTTGATTTTGTTTTGTTTCTACTTTTACTAATTCCCTAACAATCAGTACATGTACATGTACATGTATATCATGCATATCATGTACATGAACATGTAAACGATGTACATGTACAATATGTACATTGTAGGTCACACACAAGTATGCTAAATTGTATGCACTAACCATGACGAAGGCACAACGTATGCAGTAAATTGAGGAAACAATCCCTTTAACTTCACATTGAATTCAGGCAAATCAACGGGAGACTCTAAATAAAGCACACACTATCACATGATGGTCACATGACCCATTGTGATACCTGCCGCACTGGTAATCTCCAACCCTCTGGTCAGAGCTGAATTAATGAGTGACTGACAGTCTTCCAGGGAGGGAGAGGCCTCTGGTCTCATACAGGCAGTAGTGAAGTAGAGAGGAGTGGCTAGAGGAAGGATGGTGTTCCCGTAGGTCTGACAGAGAGGACAGAGATACTCTCCGTCCCCCCATAGGATAGTGTGACCTGGTACTGGGAAGAAATACCGTCTTAGACTGTGCTCCTGTTTCTTATTATCAACATACCTTAGGGAGAGAGACAGAGAGAGAGCATTGATTAATTATTAAAACTAAAAGTACATGTACATGCATGTACATGTACATGTATAATTCTCACTTTTGCCAGCAGGTGTAATGCATTATATGACCACACCCACCAGAGTAGACGCCCCACTTTGCATCTAATAAACCACTCAAATAGTCAATTTCTAAATAAATGATAACAATAATAATAATAATAATAATAATAATAATAATAATAATAATAATAATAATAATAATAATAATAATGATAATAATGATAATAATAATAATGATAATAATAATAATAATAATAATAATAATAATAATAATAATAAATTAATGATGTACATGTACATTGTAACTCACTTTCATCTCCGGTGACCTTACAAGATGTTCTTCTCATTACGGTTGAGCGCTGGACACAAGTCGCTAGGACAAACCGTTTGTCGGTTTCCAAGGCAACATCCCCCGCCTCCTCCTGACAGAGAATACACTTAGCAGACACTTTAGTATTGGAACGATTTAGGAACGGAACCACACCCACCGCAGGACCTTTCGCAAGAATGGGATCCTTCTGTATACTATAATAATAATAATAATAATATTATCAATTTATTGTTGTTGTTGTTGTTACTTTGTTTGTTGTCCTATTTTAGGTTCGCTCTCAATGAGGTCCAGCTCTCCTTTGTGCTGATCATAAAACTTCCTCTGCAAGAGTGCCATGTCCCTCATTAGCTTTAGTCTGAGAGAGAGAGAGGAATAAACACAGTAGTATCATAATTGTATCTTAAGAATTGCATGTACATGTACATGTACATGCATGTACATGTACAAGTTAAAAACTGTGTCTTAATGTTAAGAACTATCTCATTGTTCCAAAGCCATATGTCATACAAGCATTTGTTGCCACGCTCATGAAGCATATGCTTTATAGCTTACTTATTAGCATGTTTTTTCCTAGCTGCTCCTCTCTTTCCCTCTCTCCCCTTACCTGTATTCTTCAGCCTTAGCTCTTTTCTTATCCAGACCAGGAGAGTCAATGTCCTCTACCACCATATTATTATCAGCTCCTCCTTCATTGGAGGAAGAAGAGGATTCTGTCATATCTAACTCTCTCTTAGCAGTGTGGAGTACCTGGAGAGAGAGAGAGAGATTGAAATAAAATAGACTGCAAATACATATACAGTGTATGATACATGTTACATGTATATACATGTATATACATGTACATGTGCATGTACAGTATATGGAACATTATAGCCACTGCAGTGTGTGCATATATACATGTACTGTAGAGTAGAGAGGTACATTGTACATCTAGTCCCTGCTCTTGGCTACTTTTTTAAAAATGGCCGTAACTCAAAAAGTTGGAGTCAGAATCAGCTCAAACTTTCTACACAGCATAAGGACATCAATGTGTATTAGAAAATGGTAACAAAAAATTGGGGTGATTTTGGAGCCATTTTTCGGAAGAAACCCAAGGCTATAGCCTTGGGTATTTTTCAGAATTTTGGTGTTTTCTTAAAATGGTTATAACTTTAAAAAATGAAGTCAGAATTGGCTTAAACTTTCTACACAGTATAAGAACATCGATGTGCATCAGAAAATGTAATAAAAATGTAAAATAATTTCGGAGCCATTTTTAAAGAGAAACCATGGGCTATTTATTAGTAAATGCACACGTGTCATGTACATGTACATATGTACCTTAATGACCCAATGGAGGAGATGCTGTCTCTCTTCAACTCGAGAAGTCGACCTCAGGCTCTCCAAATATGGCAATAATGACTCATTCCCTAAAGCAAAGAGAGAGTATATGAAGTCTCATATACAGTATACAGTGTTTATAAACCATTGTCACATTCCTGGATTGACTCATTCAACTGACTCTGCTTGTAGTGTTAGTGTCTCATGTTTGTATATTAGTTGTGTGCAGCAGCTGGATGGTCTAATGACTTACTAGTGTCAAATCCAAGACATCCCTTACGGAAATCATTACTGCCTTGTCTCTCCTCCTCTACCAACATCAAGGAACACAAATGAAGACTCTATAAAGAAAGGAGAGAGATCGAGATACATGTAAACACTGTACATTAACAGTGACAAAAATTAGAAAAATACATACATGTACATGTAGTTAAATATAATAACAGATAAAATAAACAAAAAATAATAAAGGAGAAGGTGGTATTACAATACTAAAACTGTACTCACCTCATGGAGGAGTCTTACTGACCAAAACTTTGATCCATCAGTAGCAGCTGCCTTGAAAACATTATAAAATACTCTAACCAGGACTGGCGAAGATAAAAGATTCAGGACCCCTTGATAGGGGGCAGTGAAAGGAGGAGGAGAACATGGCGGAGAAGCTAAAGAGAATACAAAAATAAGTTTAATTAATTAATTAATTGATACACGTACGAGCTAGTCTTGAAGCACCTCCACTAGCTTTGACCTTCTTCCTCCAAACATCTTCAGCCTAACAGGGAGAGAGAGAGAGGAGAGAGAGAGGGAGGGAGAGAGAGAGAGAGGGAGGGAGAGAGAGAGAGAGGAAGGGAGAGAGAGAGGGAGGGAGGGAGAGAGAGAGTACATGTAACATGAATACATGTATTGCAATACTTGTGATTGATCTGTTTTCGTGTATTGATAATAAAAAGGATCATATTGCTTCAGATAATCATCTTTCAGCTCAAATAGACTCTTCCTTGAGACAGTCCTACAAACCACACCCATCAGCCCCGCCCATTAACTCACACACTCACCTCAAATGTGCTACTTTCTTGATCAGTGAAGATATCTTATCATCATTATCAGTAAACTGTGCAGAGAGTATAAAAATTAATATTGTAATCATTATAATTTTTTTGACGGACTTTAAATTTTTTCATTATTTGGCTGTGAGGCTGAGGACCAAAGTACAATATGTGAATGAGGTCCCTCTCCAGTGAGGTTTCTGTGGTGACGCCCTCTCCAATCCCAACATTGTAACGCTCACCAAAGACAACAATCAGCAAATAAAGAAACTCCTCAAGCTCCATCATCAGAAACCGCATGGCATCTTCACCTCTCTGAGTAAGGGAGAGGGAGAGAGAGCTCTAATAATAACTGAATCAGTTACTATATAATGTATTGTACTAGTCTACTAGACAAGACTAAGCTAATAAAGCAAAATTAGATTAATTACAATAAAAAATGCATGTACAAATCATTTAAAGTTTAGGCTGATGATAATTGATAAATACAAAATATTATTATTAACTTTTATTGTACACATCGAGTGAAAGAAGAATGAGTCTAGTCTCATAAAAAAAATTAGTTCCCCAATTTACCCTTTCCTTCCCTCCCTCCCTCTCCCTCTCTTACTTCTCTTCTATCTCTTGGATCACTTTCAGGTCTACAAAGGGAGGACAAAGAGACAATAATGTAAGTTGTAACTAAAATAGTGGCATACTTTTTGAGCCAATTCTCTAGCCTGTACTTGTAAATGAGTGAGTACACAAATACATCAGGATCTAATACTGCTGCAATGGACTAAAAGGGAGGGAGGGAGAGATGTACATGTACATGTAATCCATTCCCTCCCTCCCTCTCTCTCTCCCTCACCTGTAGCATTACAATGTCCTTCTTATACATGATTTCAGCACTGCTGTGGTGCTGGTAGTTGATGGCTTGATTCTGGACACTGTATCCATTCCTCCTCCACATTCCATTGAGGACTTGCGAAGAGAAAACAATAGCTCTGGAACAAGGCTCCATCAGTGATAGGTAGACATGATTCTGTGAAGAGAGAGGGGGAGAGAGAGAGTGAAATAGAAGTACATGTATGCATGAACATACATGTACATGTATTTGTAAACATACTGAGGTGTCATTGGTAGCAGTTCTGATAATACTAGACAATGAAAGATTATATTTAGAAGCACCAGGTAAGAGACCTGCAGTAAAAAGACAATGCACATGTACATCATGATAAATTCATATGAAAGAAGAGATTATCATCACCTGCCACAAATCTTGAGAGTGGTTGATGAAAGGAGACATTCTCTTTTAAAATATCAAACATGATCAGCTCCATTGTTGGACTGTTCCTCCCCAATAGATTCTTGTCAACCACTATACACAAGTACACAAGATACAATAATATATGAAATGGAGGGAAGAGGAGCAGGTGGCATGAACTAACTGTGATGCTTAAACTTGTATTGAACTTTGAGTAATTCTTTTATTGACATTTTAAGTGACTCTAAAAGCATTTCCTCCTGTTATAAAGAAAGAGAGAGAGAGGGAGGGAGGGAGAGAGGGAGGGAGGGAGAGAGATAGGGAGGGAGGCAGAGAGAGGGAGAGAGAGAGAGAGAGAGAGATGGGGGAGAATGAGATAAAATAAAGCAGTAACATACATCAGATTGGCACCAATTGATAAACAACAAAATGGCCGTCTGTAGAATGATTGAGAAGTTAAAACTGTTCTCCCACGGCGGCTCCATTACCACGTGAGACCCACTCTGACGCTTAACAGAATCCATATTCTACACACACAAAAAAGCATAAAAATAGTGTCATCTTTAACAATCAATTACATTCATGGCTGATAGAAGTTTGATGAATGGTACCAAAGCTTTGTAGGTCTTTTGTTTAAACTGATCGGTCACCTCCTCTGGTCTGTTTCTTAATAAATATCTAGAGGAGGAGATAAAGGAGAGAGAGAGAGAGTGATGTATACATGTACATGCATGTTATTACTAACCTCAAGTCGTGAAGTATGTAGACAATCCTTCCGTGTTTATAGTTACGAGAATGCAGTGACAAACATTGATCATCTAGTGGTGGAAAGGAAAGATAGTTAAGTATAAATTAATGTACATGTACATGGAAATGTAACAGTTAAAAAGGTGTTTCAGGCCCAATTTTTTAGATAATTTTCTAAACAAACAATGTAACTGAAAAAATATTAATCGGAATGCTTTGTGCATATACAATGTAGAAGTTTATGATTATAAAAATAATCATGCAATATTCTTGTGTACACACATACCTCTACTGATAAAAGGACTAACTAAACCTAAAATAGTTTCAGTGACAATATAAAGAGCATCACATTCAGCAACTAGCATACGACTCTGGAAAGAAATAGAGAAAGAGCGAGAGAGAGAGAGAGGGAGGGAGAGAGAAGGAGGGAGAGAGGGGGGGAGAGAGAGGGGGGAGAGAGAGACAAAGGAGGGAGGAAGAGAGAGATACATGTACATGTACATGTACTGTAGCAGTTGCTTACCAGAGATGGAACAGTGAATAACTGAACAGTGAGATTAATGGCCTAAAAATTAAATAAAAAATCATCATCAGTATAACATAAACATTTCCTCTTCTCTCTCTCTTATAACATACACAAACGTCATGGTGGTGAGTGTCCTCCCAAAAGTTTCTTGCAAGCTGTTTATAGTTTTTGGCCAGACAAACAGCAAGCTCCTTCTTGTACTGAAAGTCTTTGAATATTCTAAAAAGAAAGAGAAGTAATGAATGGAGGAGAGAGAGAGAGGGGGGGAGGGGGAGAACTTACGAGCTCATCACTAGCCTTTGCCAACATAGTCTAGCCTCTATAGTAGGAGACAGGAAAAAGAGTAAAGATGTACAATACATTTACATACAACAAAAAAACTATATGTAATTTAATTAATTTACAATCCACACATCAGAATTAGCTACGGTGCTCAGTACAATACAATTATGGTTTACCTATCCATATCGTGCTGTCCTTTACAAAGAAGTAATCAAGGAGAGACATATTGTAATCATCTGGACTAGGCTTGCACATTACCATTGAGAGGAGGCGGCAGAAACCGTCTAAGAATAAAGACAAAATAGATTAGAGAGATAGAGGAAAACATGTAGGATACAGTAGGAAGTGAGTGTGTTTTACATGTACATTGTAATTGATGTCATAAGCCCCGTTTACACTACAAACCAGTTTGGATCAAAGCGGTTCAGAAACCAGCTTAATTGTGTCCACACGTAACTGTGGTTGAATCGGTTTACAATGCTACATTGCATACATAATACAGCTGCTTCAGTACTTAAACCGGCAGGAGGTGATTTGAGATAAGTCGGTTTAAACCGCATTGAAATTGTCCACACGTAAACTGTTTTTATTTCTAAACCGGTTCCAAACCGCTTTAAGGGCATAGTGTAAACAAGGCTTATACATATATAGTAAATACAAAAAAATTATTTAAAAATGACCAAGAGATATGAAATAAAAGAGTAGCAAGTGTCATTGTAAGTGTATTGTAAGAAGGAAAAACAGAAATAAAAAGAGGAAAAAAAATATAAGATACTATAGAAAGAAAGAAGGAAGGAGAGAGGGAGGGAGAGAGAGAGATGTGCTCACCAGATTTCTCTGCTCTATCTTTCAGAAGGTTCAAGAGATATATAGCACAGTTTTGGTGTGAGAGAATTGTAGTATGAAATATACGGACAGTCAAGGGATGACCACCTAAAGATCTCTATAAAAATATAATAAAAAAATAAATAATGCAATAAAAAATAAAATAAAATCATTTCAAATAATAATAAACTTACATTGACGTTTGTCTTTGCTTTTTCGCATTCGTTCAGTGTCCCCTTATTCAAAAATCCCCGACCCTATAGAAAAGCAGTAAATCTCAGTATATCATAGTATAGTGGTTGTACCACCACAATGAAGCAGCAATTAGAGAACAGCTGCCACACTACAAGAACACATGTATTGAATTCCCTCTCATAAGAAATTATTGACTGTTATTGCTACAGTAAGCATATATACTGTAATCTTTATACTGTGAATGCTATGTAGTATAAAGTTACTATTGCATGACAGCAATGCATTGATTCATTCAGTGAGATATGAGGGTATTATCATGTAATTGTGTGTTTGTGTGTGTGTGTGTGTGTGTGTGTGTGTGTGTGTGTGTGCACCTTTCTGTCAACTAGTGTGGCCAAACTGACAGCATCAGCATTAGATAAACCAACATGTGTGTGTAGACCATTGATAACCTAATAATAATAAACAACCAGAATAGTCTCTCTCTCTCTCTTCTTTCTCACATCATCATAAGTATGTACTTCATCATTCATAAGCATTGCAACAAAAGTATCAGAAGATAATCTGGAGGGGAAGAGAGAGAGAGAGAGAAGAGAAAGTGTAAGGTAGAATACATGTACATAAAGAAACTTTCCAACAAAAAAACTAAAATAAAACAACGAAAGACAAAAAGTAACAACAACATAATTATAATGATAATAATAAATTAAATACTTTTCTCTTGACTGAGGAGTGAGTAGGTTTTGTGGAAGGTCATTGGGTTTCTCCCAGTTAAGAACCCTCACACAATACCACAGTACAGTCCAGAGGAAGGACTGGGCATTGGCTGACATATCAGGTGGCAAATTCTCAAGTGGATTCACCTAATTATTATTCATGATAATTATAGGAGCATTAATGAAGGACACACCCACCTCTTCACTCCTCTCCCTCGAGGGCTGATGATGGGAGCAGTAAACATTTGATGACCACGCCTCCGGGTCACCGCAATCACAGCAACCGCCACCACCTGAAGCAAACATCTAATGGAGAGAGAAAGGAAGGGAGGGTATCAGTGTGGCTTTTAAAATGGTTTTTAAAACTCTTACCCTGTATCGATGATTCTTATGCTCACTGTTTTCAAAACATGTTAAGCATAAACAGCACGTCGGGTCGGTTTGACAGTCTCTAATTAAATAGAAACAAATAAAATGAATAAAATAAGAACAGAATCAACTGTTAAAGATAGCACTATTGTTTATTATTGACATATACATACTTGCAGAAAACAGCTGGCTCTCCATTCTTGAAGACTTTGCCACAGAAGTTGGTGGCGGTCGGGCTGCTCTGCAGTATCGTATAGACGTCATTAGCTCCCCAGCAGGTCTCTAGAGGCAGGACAAGTTGAGAGAGGAGGACCTCATCGCTTGGAAAGTTATTTGGATCAGAGAAAAGGTCCAGGCCTCTGGTAGCTAGCAGTTCTTCTGTTCTACGTGATACCATTTTAACTGAAGGTTCAAAAACACTGGGAACAATCTCTGTTTCTCTCAAAGGAAGATGACCTGTTGTTCACAAGTACTCATTTAAAACCGCCATTTTGTTACCAAGTATACACGATGTCGATGATGTCACTATTACACGTTTTAATGTTACTATAAATAGACCTGAGGTAGTTTAATAAATACAATTAACTAACTAGACAGTTATTAATTTTTGCAGGAAGAAAGCAACAAAAATCTTTAAAATTATAATACATAATAATTTCAATAAATAATAATTATAGTGATATAGTTAGACATAATGACAAATAACAAGGAGCTATCATTATAATTTATTATACTAGTCACTATTTGAAAATGATATAAGGCTTGAGGGATCGTATCCATTGCAGACAAGGAGGGTCATACGGTCCAGAATACCTTGAAGGACCTTTAGACACTCTTGATGAGTCTTACCAATCAAACTAACTGAGTTAATCTACAAAAATATATAAGGAATTAATTAATGACAAGTAACTTAAATTTCTAAAACCATATTTAAAGTAATAATTATTATTTGAAAACTACATGTACCTGTAGTATCCTAATACCAACAGCCAATCGACCATCCCTTGCAGCTGCTCCCCCTGGAACCACTTCAGACACAAATATACCCTCGTCAGTCTCGTCAAACGGGTTTGCTGGGTCTCCATTGACTCCACCCGCTATAGAAAACCCAAAACCTTCCCCAGGTTTAGTGACAAGAGTCAATTCCTACAAAAAGATTCAATGCTGTTTCGCTAAAGTAGCTAATACCTTTAGTCCATCAGGCGGTGGCTCGTGACGTATTAACACTTTCAAAGGATCCCCTGATGTCACCAGAAGCTTAATGGCTCCTTCATGAGTGCTGTTACTAACATCAACCCCATTGACCTAAAGGGAATATTATATAATGATACCCTGCTGGTATGTGAAAGGATATGCCCTAAAATAGCTGTATAATAATATCTCTACTCTTTATTACCCCAATACCTTATATGTCTAGTGTTACAATTAAACATTAAAATAATCATTTTAGTTGTATAAGGAGCAGGTGTGTATATACATTTAGAAAGGTCAAACTAACTGATAATATTCTGTCTCCAATTCTTATCTGGCCACTTTTAGCAGCTGCACCTCCAGGTAATACCTAAAACCAAAAATGTATCTTTATATATACTTAATTCAAAATTTTATTGTAATCCATTAAAACTTTGCTAGATAGTCGATAAAATTTGCACAGTGCTTACATCGCGTATAAAGATGCCAGGCTTGTCTCCTTGTCTGAAGATGTGCTGTGGTCTGTCAGAGCCTCCCATTACTGCAATACCAAGTGAGCAATTAGACTTGTGCAACTCAACTTCCTAAAATGCAGACACAATTAAGATTAATAACAAAAGTATTGTCTAGAGAGTAACACTTTGTCTCTCTCTTACTCCCTCTCTCTCTCTCTCTTACTCCCTCTCTCTCTCTTTCTCCCTCTCTCTCCCTCTCTCTCCCCCTCTCTCTCTCTCTCTCTCCCCCTCTCTCCCCCCCCCTCTCTCTCTCTCTCTCTCTCTCTTTCTCTCCTAGTACATGTACTGTACATTGGCTATTGTGGTATCCTTTCTCTTTACCACAGTTCACAGAGACACACAAACCTCAGACACCAAGTGTTCAACCTATTCTAACAACTTAATGCTGTAGACTACACTAGTGGTACATTAGGTGTTGAAAAGCAGAAAATTGTCAACAGAATCAATTGTGTAGTCATTCCCTAATGATACTCTTTCTATTTCAATTCTTACAAAATACCCTCTCTCTCTCTCTCTGGCTCACCTCTACAGCCATAGCAGCTGCTCTTGGAAGAACTTTTGTATTCTCTTTATTCATTTTCTTCATGAGAGTCCCCCTTACATTGGTCATGTGACTCTGTATAGCGTTAATGATCAACTGGAGACAGTCTGCATCATCATGTATGATCGCCTCATTATCATTTATGTGCATCAAGTACTCACGGTTGATACTTGGGAGACGAACTGTCTGTAGTACCTGATAGGCGCTGGCTCTTCTGTTCTCAATGTCGTAGTTCAACCAGCCAATGACAGCCTCGTAGACCTGCTCTTCGCAAGTGATGGCGATATTCTCCAACGAGAGGATCCTACAAACAGTCTCGGTCTCCACTTCCATGAATTCCCTCCCTCTCACGATATTCAGGAAATTCACTTCAATGTATTTGAGTGAAGCATCAAGGAGTTCGGTACAATTGTGACTTTCGGCGAAAAGCCACGTGCGGATACAGTTGGTCTTGTTCATTTGGCTACGGAAGAAACGAAAGCAGGCGTTCTTGACTCCTTGAAACTCTAAAGTATCGGCAGCCTCAAATAAATGATAGACATTGCCTTGAGTGAGTGTGATGCATGAAGTGTAGGCAAAGTCAATGAGAGTAGCCAGTGCATGCTCGTCCACTTCTTCAATGACAACAGGTACTCCCTCCGGCTCTGAGAACTCTCCGATGAACATTGACTCAAAGTACCCGCTGCACGACGCCAGGACAATCCGGTGAGCCTTTATCTCTGTATCTCCTACTGATAGGACACAGTCACAGAGCTCTCCTTTCTTGCGGAGTTGAGCGAGTCTTTTAAAGGAATTCCTTGGGTGGTCCTTCTCTTCATAGACGAGCTCACGGGACACTGGGTTAGGGAGACAGACTGGTTGAGTGCGTCTGAAACTGGACTGACTGGTTAAGGAAACAGGTCTACGGTCCCTCTCAGGAACAGGAGGGGAGAGAGGAGGGGAGAGAGGAGGAGAGTCGATATCTACTAGTTTTCCATTGTCCACTGGTGAGTCTGCCTCAGTCTCGTTTGGTTGCGCGGGCGGTAATGATTCCGATAGTTTCTCATTCAGCTGCCTTTTACTGGTTGGAGGCGTGGTCTGTCCTATTGACTGGGCGGAGTCTCCATGATAAGAGGCGGTGGGTTTCCTGGGGGGAGGGGGTGGAGGGGAGCGAGACGGAGGAGAGGAGACCTCGTCCTTGTTAACAATAGGACGACGGGTACTGGGCGGAGTCGATACAGTACGAGTAAGCTTCTGTTTAGCCGGTGGAGGAGGGAGTGGCCTATTTGTGGTTGGAGACGACTCCGTAGGTATAGGTACAGCTGGTAACGGCTTGTTCTTTGGAGGTGGCAAAGGAGGGAGTGGTTTCTTTATTACTCCAGCTCCTACTGTATTGTTAGTAGGAGCGGGTCTGCTAACTTCACCAATGGTCTTTGAACGAATGAGACTAGGTTTAGGAGGAGGAGGCGGTCTCCTCCTGCCCCCACCACTACTACCGCTACTACTGCTTCCTATTGAGGTAGTGTCACTGAGATCTATCAGTGGCTCCGGAGAGAGGGACATAGCGAGCGAGTTGAATGAAGCCCTAAGGTTGAATTCTTAAGAATCCTTTTACTGTTGGGGACTGTATTTGACCTTTTGGTGGCTTGGGAAAAAGGAAAAAGAGAGCAAAATTGTAGATCCTTTTGGGAAGTGTCCGCGTACAAGAAAGAAAACGTTAAACCAGCAAAGCAGCTCCACCCATTGTAGCCACACCTCTTCAATGTACCACCCACGCACTCATTGACACCTCCCATGGGGCGTGGTCACACGTGGCACAAAGTACAAATGACCATGTTTTCTAGGCTCTTGAGCTCATTTCGATATTCTTCTTGCTCTCTTAGAAGAGGACTAACAGTGAGAAGGTCTGTGGGTTTCAATGGCTCTTTACCGAGGAGATTTTATTACGTGAAGCCCAAGAAGAAGGCGAGTGGCTCGGGGCAGGCTATCCTTGTATTGGCTGGTGTCACACTTGCCATTACTGGAGGAGCTATCTATGTATTAGGCCGTCCTGAAGATGAGATCATTGGATTACAAGTTAGAGCAATTTGAAAGACATGGGGGTAATGGTAATGAAATAGTAATAGATTTCAAAGTTTGCTCAAAAATTGGGTCAAAGAGTCTGTACTATAGTACAGAGATTTTGCTAAAAATGAAAAGGAGAGGATTCTTTATTTTCATAATTTTTTCTGATGCGTATACATGTTGTTATGTTGTGTAGAAGGTTTGAGTGGATCCCGATCAAATTTGGATTTTTCATGAATTTTTGAAGTTGCTCCAAAATCGGGCCAAAGTCCCTGTACTATAGTACAGGGACTTTGATCAAATTTTGCCAAAAATGAAAAGGAGAGGATTCTTCATTTTCATAATTTTTTCTGATGCATATACATATTCTTATGTTGTGTAGAAAGTTTGAGCGGATCCCAATCAAATTTGGATTTTTTATGAATTTTTGAAGTTGCTCCAAAATTAGACCAATGTCCCTGTACTATCATACAGGAACTATTGGCCAATTTTATCAAAAAATGACTTGGAGAGAATTTCCCATTTTTATACTTATTTTCTGATGTCGTTTTATGTGTGAAAAGCTAAATCAAATTAGAAATCAGTTTGCTCAAAATTTTGCAAAACACATGTAGTATAACATTACTTTAGTATTATTCCAGCTATTGTATTAAGATTTGTCTCTTGTTTATTAGGAACAAGACAAATATGCAGGAGGTTTGTTTCAATTACAACACTTTTATAGTTAATTTATTTTTCAGAGAACCCATTCAAAGCCTATTTATTAAGAGCGAAGGACACCATTTTAAGCTACAAACTTAAATTCACTGAGCCGTCTAGCCAGTTGCTCCTCCCTGAACCACTCCCACATCCCTACCAAAGACCATACACACTCCTCATTGAAGTGAAGGACATCTTTATTCACAGTGACTATGAGGTACACACATATTTTAATTACTTTTATTTATTTTAAATTATTATTTTTTAATTATAGAGGAACATGGGGTGGAGACATCAGAAAAGACCAGGACTGGATGCTTTCCTCAATGCTTTATTTGATTACTATGAAATAGTAGTGTTTACATCTGAAAATGCATTAGTGAGTATAATCGTTATTGATCTTAGATAATACTCTCTTCTCTCTCTCTCTTAAGTCTACTCACCCTATCATTGATAAGATGGATCCTAATCAGTATATCATGTATCGTCTATACAGAGACTCAACTAAATACATTAGTGGGGAACACGTAAAGGTATGTACATAATAATTGTTTTTGTTGCTGTCATACTGTATAGTGGGAAATTTTGGAGGGGAATGGGATTAAATTTGGCGAATTTGGTGTTTTGATAGCCATTCTCCAAAATAAAAACATGCCATTTTGAGCCATTATATGCATGCTCAATGGCACGTGGCCACAAATTTGCCATATTAAAAACCGTCAATCATCAAAATTTAGCAATTTGCCAAAATTTAGCCCCTCCAAATTTACCCGCTATACAGTATATTATAGCACTTCACAATTGTGCTAAAACAATGAGTTTTAATTTGGAAATTTTAATGTGCATAATGTTAATGATTGGTAGTTTTCATATTGGTAATTACAATTAAGTTTTAATTACAGGATCTTACTCATATCAATCGCTCATTGAATCGTGTCATTATGGTTGATACTAATCCATTGTCAGTCAAGCTTCAGCCAGAGAACAGTATCATACTTGACAAGTGGACTGGTGATATTTATGATACTTCACTTAAAGACTTGGGAGCTTTCTTGCTGAGTAAGTGGCACTGCATGATTATAGCTCTTCATGCTTTAGAAAAGCAACCATAGCAATGCTAAATTAATACAGCCATAAGTACTATCATTGTATTACATTTTCTGAATTTTGATACATTGATGTCTTTTACCATGTAGAAAGTGTGAGTCTATTCTGATTACTAGTAATACTTTTTTATTTATGGCTGCCAAAGAGTAAAGAAACAAATTATTTTTTTAGCCATTGCTATGAGTAACACTGATGATGTGAGACCAGTTCTTGACTACTACAAAGAGCAGGGAGGAAATTTACTCGAGACATTTAAAGGTATTATTAAAATATCATTAATATCTGTCTAATGTTTCTTATTTAGCTAATCAAGCTCGGCTAAGAGAAGAAGAGGAAAAGAGAATGTCCACTTATTCTTCAAAGGGCAAAAGATTTGGATCAACTTTCAACGTCTTCTCTTTTAAGAAGTCTTCCTCGTCTTCCCCTGCACCTCTTGAAGTGGCCACAGCCGCCACACCCGCTGATACACCTTTTGTATCACCTGCTCCTCTTGATGGAGGTGAAACTAATAAACCTCAAACTACTGGTGGTGGGTGGCTTGGCTGGTTGGGATTGAAATAAGTCCTTGTACTATAGCTGTACTGTGCAAAATTTATTACTAATCAATGATCATTAAAAATAAAATTTGTAATTGGCGTGAAACTAACGAATCTACTAAAAATAAAAATATTCAAGTTATCATAAAAATCAGTGATCAGTGTATTCGTATGAAGCATAAGTGTTCATATCAAATCTCAGGTTGAGTTTTTTCTTCACATCACTGGGAGGATTCTTTCCTGGTCCAGAGTATAAGACTTTCTCAATTCCAATGTTTCCCTTCTCCTGCTTACCTTTGAATTCATCAAAGGCGTCTTCAGAAATTAGCAAATAATACCAACTGGGAAACTTGTTGTGTTTATTGTCAACCAGTAATACAATTCGCTCTCTTTTTTTGCTAAGACGATCCTCCCAAGTGCAGGTAGAGTCCAACTCACACTGGTCTCCAGGCATCTTGTAGCAGTGGATGTGTCTGAAGTCAACCAGCATTGGGTTTTGTCCTTTTTGAGCTGGTTCCATTTTAATTTCTTCGTCATAATTTATAACAACACCTTCATCTTCTTCGCTGTATTTCATTCCTTTTCTGCTGTATGTGAGTAGTGTAGCTTCTTCATGAGGTTGACATGATGTGAAAATCTTAAATAGCATCTTTTGTTCCCTGGTTTTGTGTCCACAAGACAGAATTCCATATTCATCTAGTTTTTTTCCACAATCGTGTATCCATTTTCCAGAATAGCTGCAATCAGACACTATTTGTAGAGACTTGCCCCTGAAATGCATCATGTATAATTCAAAGATGTCATTGAATGATATCACTCCATCTTTAAAGCACCAGTTACCAGTGTCCTTCTCTCCATGACCAGTGTAATATATGAGAGCTATAAAATAAAGTTTATAGTATGATATTCTAAAATATTTCTTACCTTCATCCTTCTTACAGTTTTCAAATAATGATTTAATTTTATCAAGATAAAACTGTCTTGACTTTCCCTTTTCTGGAATGTCTTTCAATTCATATCTTTTTGAATTTTTTTCATAAATTTCAACTATGCTTTTAATCTCCTCTGCAATCCAATCTTCATACGATCCTTCTAGACCAACAGGAATTGACTTTGGTGATACAATTGTTCCTCTGTAAAATTATAATTTATAAAATAATGCAAATTATTTACTAACGGCAGCTTCCATTGTTCATGATTCCCAAATGATCCAATGATTATCACTTCTTTAGGTGCACGTTTAAAATGCCTCCAAGTGTGTGGGGCAGCTTCAGTTCCAGCATCATCTGAATCTGATCTTGTATATTCTACAAATAGTGTATGAGTTATGCTAGATATAGTTGATGTATACCTTTATCATTTGTATCATAAGCCCGTTCTGTTTCTTTAGTATTAGTCTGTACGTGTGCTTGGGATTCTTTATCTAGTGTCTCCTGTGTACTTTTTGCTTCCCTCCTTTGGTCTGTGAGTACTGGCTTGACTAGCACATAAATTGTTGTGATGAATAATATTAGAAGAATTAGCAGCCATGACGATACACTAGACACCATATCTAGATCTGTATGACACAATAATTATTAAAAATTATACATTAATACATACAGCTATTCATGCTAGTATGATCCTCTTTATCATGAGCTTCATTTAGTTGTTTCACACTGATATAGATTGCCATTTGTTCCAGTCTACCACTGTGTATTGATTGGGAGCAGTGGTCATCTTCTGTATCTAACTGTTGTTCACAAGCCTATGATGGTATAATAATAATTATTATTATTATCATTTTTGTCTTTACCTTGTCATAGACTGTGTTAAAATCAATGGTCAGTCTTTGTAATCCTTTCTCCTTTAAAGCTTCAATATTTTCCATAGCAGCTAGATTAATTTCCTCATATAAAAGTAAAGGAAATGAACATGTGACTGTAAAGGAATTGCTTTCTGAGATAACATGGACCCTAATACAAGGTGCATGCTCTTTAAAAGCAGCTTTAATCATTTTTTCCACATCTTTGAAAGTAATACCATCAACATCCTGGTCAATAGAAAATGTAATTGTTTCAGGCTGAAGGAGATGACGGTCAAAGAATTTTTCATCTAAAACATGTCTGAGTAGTGATTGACGAAATTTAATGACATTTTCCTTGTACTTCTGGATTGCCGGTTTAGCATTCTCAATATTGAACTTGTACACAATGGATTCCACTAGGCCAATGTCTATTAATGAACTATGCTCACTGATCAGGTTTAAAATATCAGCTCTATTTTCACAGTCACGTAAGTGAGGACGGAGGTGCTTGTAACCCCAACGAAGATACTGGCACAACTCTTGTAAACTAGGCTTATCAATCATAGCCTGGTTTATGTCAAAAATTGCATCAGCAAACTCTCCTCTTAGTTTCGTAAAATTTAAGTCTGAACTTGCAACAAAATGAATATCTAAAATGAAAGGAATGGCTTTGGAGGCATTTTGATAATGCTATTACTTTTATTATCACTACTTGTCACATCTTTTTTTCTAGGAAATTTTCTTTCTGTTTTATGAAGAAGCAAATGATAATTTGTTTTTTTTCACTCACTGTATTCCTTTAAAATGTCGCCACCTATACTCATAGTGGCTGGTGATTGCTGCAAAACAACTCCAAAAGCCTCAAGAAATTGATAGTTTACACAAATGCTATTTCCAATTTCTTGTAGTAACTCTCTTCCATCTTTAGGCCATAGTATCTTTTTTACTATTTTTTCTCGATATAGGAGGTTGATTAGGCTAAGTAGATTTTTCTGAATAGATGAATCTGACGTATATCGATCAAAAATCTCACAAGCAGGATGCTCCATTAAATGCTCTAATACAAAGGATGACTGAATAAACAAAAATAATAATTATTGGCATAAAGCATACTGTTTCTGTGAATTCTATCAGCAGTATTAATTTCTTTAATGTGTCTAAGTCCAACTATCAATGAGTACCAAGTAGGACCACCTTTCTGTTTCACTTTATCAGCTTTTTGCAACCAGGAATGCAAACATTCCTGAAGGCAACAATCCACACCATAATGCTGACTAGTAGCCTCTATGCCACTCAGAGTAGATATATATATCCCAAGATCAAGACACAGGTCTTTCCACTTCGCTACTTCAAAATTATGATCTTTTAATGCTTGCAATATCTCGTCGAGATTAGTGATATCGAGACATTCTCCGTTTGGTGAAAGTGTATTGGTGCTTACTACCTACAAAATGAAGACAAATCATAGCATGTATTGGCTTTATAGTTACTTTAAAGGATAAGGCAATCAGTAAAAAGAACTGAAAGGTCATCATTGCTTCAATACAAAAAGTATCAAGGGCGTGGCTCAGAAGGGTGGGGCTCCTTGGCCAAAATTTTTATTACATTTTCTGATACATAATTTATTAATGTACCAATTGTACTAAATATGATTGTACTGTGCAAAGTTAATTATTAATCAATGATTATTCAAAATAAAATTTGTAGCTGGCAAAACTAATGATCTACTAAAAATTATATAAAAATCAGCAATCAGTGTATTCGTATGAAGCTTAAGTGTTCATATCAAATCTCAGGTTAAGCTTTTTCTTCATGTCACTTGGAGGATTTTGTCCTGGTCCAGAGTATAAGACTTTGCCGTATTTTGTTGCTTCTTTAACCCCAATGCTTTCCTGATCCTGCTTACCTTTGAATTCATCAAAGGTGTCTTCAGAAATCAGCAAATAATATTAACTGCATGGGAAACTTGTCTCATGTTTATTATAACAGATTATTATAGATTATTCAAGGGTGCACAGGATTATTTGGAGTTGTAGACCCCTTGGGTCATCATCATTGCTCGCAAAGTATGTCAAGGGCATGGCTTGGGAAGGGTGGGAGATTCTTGAGGCCTTGCCATTACATTTTCTGATACGTTATGTAGAAAGTTTGAGTCAATTCTATAACAAGTTAACAACTAAAAATTGTTATCAAATATTTTTCTAAAAACTACAAAACTATACCAATCAAATACTTTGAGTCAGTTCATTTATAATGTCAGACATTTTAGGACGCAATTCATAATTATCCATAACACAACGTTGAACAAGACCCTTAAACCCAGCCCGTCTAATAGAATTAATATCCTGTCTTCTGTTACCAGGCTGTGGAATAGCAGAAATACTCATCTCTATAAGGAGGACACCATAACTGAAGACATCCATTGCAGGAGAGTGTTCCCTTGGATTCCCTGCTTCAGGTGCTGAATAGACTCGGTTCCCTGGATTTTCTGTTGTAGCGATGAGATTCTGAAGGTTAGCTGACCCATAGTCAGACACCTTAGCTCTCCAGCCAATACCCATGTGAGAGGTAGGCTGTAGTAGGACATTACCACTACTGATATCTCTGTGTATTATAGGATGAGGCTTGAAGAGATGAAGGTAATTGAGAGCACAGGCTACATCTAAACTGATGCTCAGTATGGCAGGATAGGGTAGTGGTAAGCCTGTCTCTAGTTCCTTTCTTAGGCTGCTGGGCATTAGCTCTGTCAGGATGATTGGGTTACCCTCACGAGTGGCTCCTATGAACTGAA